GCCACCTGAGAGAGAGAGAGAGGTTACACCTGAGAGAGAGAGAGAGAGGTTACACCTGAGAGAGAGAGAGAGGAGGTTACACCTGAGAGAGAGAGAGAGAGAGAGAGAGGTTACACCTGAGAGAGAGAGAGGTTACACCTGTGAGAGAGAGAGGTTACACCTGAGAGAGAGAGAGGTTACACCTGAGAGAGAGAGAGAGAGAGAGAGAGAGGTTACACCTGAGAGAGAGAGAGAGGGGACACGTGAGAGAGAGAGAGAGAGAGAGAGAGTTACACCTGAGAGAGAGAGGTTACACCTGAGAGAGAGAGAGGTTACACCTGAGAGGGAGAGAGAGAGAGAGAGAGAGAGAGAGAGAGAGAGAGAGAGAGAAAGTACTCTTACCTGTGTGAGGGGGGGCAGTGTGTGTCGAAGGGGAGAGACGGTCAGCTCTCTGCTCCTCCTGTCTGGGATACAACCTGCTTTAAACTACACACACACACACACACACACACACACACACACACACACACACACACACACACACACACACACACACACACACACACACACACACACACACACACACACACCTTAAACTTTGTGGTTGCGGTGGGAAATTGCAACGTTAAGGTGGATGTTTGCAGGTGTAGGAGGATAGAAGGTTAGGAGAGGAGGAGAGGAGGACAGGAGAGGAGGAGAGGAGGACAGGAGATGAGGAGAGGAGGAGAGGAGGACAGGAGATGAGGTGAGGAGGTGAGTTTCTCACCCTCTTCTGCTGCTGGTTGCTGGTTTGATTCCTGCTGTTCTTCATCTGTTCGTCCAGCCAGCGCCGTCCGTACTGATGAGAGAGGAGGACGCTGAACGGGTCTGACGCCCTGCTGATCAGTTAGTCACTGTTACTATAGTAACCATTAACTGTTACTATAGTAACCATAATAACCGTTAATGTTATAGTAACATCATAATACTATAAGTAGTAACTATAGTAACAGTTAACCACTAACAAGAGTTTCCTCACTTGGTCGTGACTCCGAACGTGATGTCGGGCACCGCCGGGCGCCGTGAAGCCCCGCCCCTCTTTGGTATGGGGTCGTGGCCCTGGCTATAGGCCCCGCCCATCTGAGCGCGGTATTGGCTCAGCTCCTTGGACGTCACGATGCCGGAGCGCACGGCGTCTCGGTTCAGAGACAGAAAGTCCGGAGGGAGGGGCTGCGAGGGGGCGGAGTCAGAACGCCTCTGCACCAACCAGCTGGAGAGGACTGAGAGAGAGACTACACTCAGGAACTACAACTCCCAGAGTACTGAGAAAGACTACACTCAGGAACTACAACTCCCAGAGGACTGAGAGAGAGACAACACTCAGGAACTACAACTCCCAGAGGACTGAGAGAGAGACTACACTCAGGAACAACAACTCCCAGCTGGAGAGGACTGAGACGGAGGCCGTTTCTCAATGTCGAGTATACCTGCTGCAGAGCCACTATTTCAAGTATACTACGTCATTGAGTGGCGCTGAATGCTGGGCATTTAACATGCATTTAAACAGTCCTTCGGCGCCACTCGATTACGTAGTATCCTTGAGATAGTGGCTCTGCAGCAGGTTTACTCGACATTGAGAAACGGCCAGAGACAACACTCAGGAACTACAACTCCCAGCTGGAGAGGACTGAGAAAGAGACAACTCCAAGAAGACCTTGCTGCAAAAAACAACGCTCGGAAACTGCAACTCCCAGCAGGCCTCACTGCAAAGAACAACGCTCAGAATCTACAACTCCCAGAAGACCTTGCTGCGCAGAACGCCACGCAGGAACTACAACTCCCAGAAGGCCTCAAAGCAAAGAACAACGCTCAGAATCTACAACTCCCAGAAGACCTTGCTGCGCAGAACGCCACGCAGGAACTACCACTCCCAGAAGGCCTCACAGCAAAGAACAACTCCCAGAAACTACAACTCCCAGAAGGCCTCACTGCAAAGAACAACGCTCAGTAACTATAACTCCCAGAAGGCCTTGCTGCAAAGAACACCGCTCAGGAACTTTAACTCCCAGAAGGCCTCGCTGCAAAGAACACTGCTCAGACACTACAACTCCCAGAAGGCCTTGCTGCACAAAACAGCGCTCAGAAACTACAATTACAACATTTAAATAAACTATGAAATATAGTCCAGACGGTTTAAGCCTACACACATTATTTATTTATTTTTTAACAAAGTGCCTCTTGAGGGCATGAAGTGACAAAAACGTTCAACAGGTCTCCATTAAACCCCATTGTAAGTTCAGCCTGATCTTTCCTCACAGCAGCAAAAAGTACACTTCAGATACTCAAGGTCCTTGACATGCTTCCCCCTTTGAAATTTCACCGATATCTGTTACGGTTCTTCAACAAAACATTCACATGTAAGAGGTTTATCTCTCATTCAGAACAATGCAAAGGCTCTCCTCTCACTGATTACTGCACATCACCATGGAAACCTTTGATCTCTGGGCTCAAGCACAGGTGTTTCCTAATGTCGTCACCTCCAACACAAACACCTGTGTGATGATGTCATAACTCCAACTGACATGCTCAGAACGCCACCAGACATCACATGATAATAATAATAATGATAATAATACATTTGATTTATATAGCGCTTTTCACAACTCAAAGACGCTTTACAGTATGAGGGAGGGTAGGCAAACAAGGACAGGCAAAAAAATAAATATAGTAAAATAAAATAAACAAAAAAAGGCAGTCAAGAGGAAGTTGATTGAGAGGGGGGGGGGCTTATGGGTAGACAGAGTTGAAAAGATGTGTTTTGAGGCGGGACTGAAAGACTGTGAGGGACTCAGAGTCACGGAGATCTTGGGGGAGGGAATTCCAGAGCATAGGAGCTGCCACTGAGAAGGCTCTGTCCCCAAAGCTGCAGAGTGTGGATGTGGGAATGGATAGAAGTCCGGCTGCGGTGGATCTGAGGGACCGTGGGGGTTGATAAGGAGTGAAAGGTTTGTGAGATAAGGGGGGGCCAAATGGTGGAGTGCTTTGTAGGTGAGGACCAAATTTTGTATTGATGCGATGGGAGACAGGAAGCCAGTGGAGTCTTTGAGGACTGGGTGATGTGATGCCATGATTTGGTATGCGTGAGGAGACGTGCAGCTGCATTTTGAACCCGTTGGAGTCTGTTGAGGGATGTAGTGCTGATGCCGTAAAGAAGTGAGTTGCAGTAGTCAAGGCGGGAGGAAATGAAGGCATGGATTAGTCGTTCGGCTGCAGGGCCGGTGAGAGAGGGTAGGATTTTTGCAATATTGCGGAGATGGAAAAATGAGGTTTTGACTGTTTGGCGGATGTGAGGTTCGAGGGAGAGGGTGGGGTCAAAGATTACGCCAAGGTTGCGTGCCTGATTGGAGGGGGAAACAATGGTGCCATCGATGGTGAGTGTGATGCTAGTGACCTTGCTGAGGGTGGATTTGGAGCCAATTAGGAGGAGTTCTGTTTTGTTGCTGTTCAGTTTGAGGAGGTTATGTTACATCCAAGTTTTAATAGCTGTCAGACAGGAATCGATGTGGGTAAGGGGTGGGTTATGGAGGGATTTGGTGCTGAGGTAGATCTGAGTGTCATCAGCATAGCAGTGGAAGTCCAGGTTGAAGTGGCGGAGTATCTGACCGAGGGGCAGGATGTAAATGATGAAGAGGAGGGGGCCAAGTACTGATCCTTGAGGAACGCCTTGGGTGACTGAAGCTGTGGCAGAGGAGTGGTTGGGGAGGGAGATGAAGTGGGATTGTTCAGTGAGGTAGGACTGGAGCCATC